GAGTGTTCATTTGCGGAATCTCACGATGTACGCGTTGAAGTATTGCCTGGTGACAGCTTAGTTGAGCTTGATTATACGGACCATATCCTCTTGCTTTTCGACGATGTTGCGGTGGCACAATCAACCCTGAATAGCCTGTCCAGAGTGTCCCCATTATTTGGTATGCACTTCGCACCTTTTAAGTGCAAAGTGTTGCTGCAGGACCACCAGCCACTCGATGACTCCTTGACGCTTGCTGACGAGGAACTCGAGATGGTTGATCATTTCATATATCTTGGCACCTGCACCAGCAACGATGGACGCATAGAAACTGATGTCAGCTCATGCATTGCAAAGGCCAGAGTTGCCTTCTTGAACCTGCGTCACCTTTGGCGACAGAAGGGAGTTTCTCTTCGTCTGAAAGGCCGTGTATAACAGGCCATAGTGAGGGCCGTTCTGCTCTGTGGTAGTGAGACTTGGTCCCTTCGGTCTGAAGATCTGAGGCGCCTTCAAGTCTTTGCTCATCGTTGTTTACGAAGCATTGCTGGTGTCGGATGGCACCAACGTGTCCGCAACGATGATGTGCGTAGACAACTACTAGGTGGTAATAATCATGCTAGCTCCCTTGAACAATAGATAGCACTGAATAAGTTGCGTTGGCTCGGGCATTGGTACTTATGCCTGGTCACCGCTTACCTATGAGGGCCTTGTTTAGTCTGCCAGGTGTGGGGTGGTGCAAAGCTCGAGGTAGACAGAAGTTGACTTGGCAGCTGGAAATTCAGTTACTGACGACCAAACTCTGTGTCGTTGGTCTGTCTTGTCTTCCAGGCTGGAGTCCATGTTACCCGCCTTGTGCTTGGCTCGAGACTTTACGATACATGGCTCGCCAGTGGCGCGTCGGCTGCCGTCTCCTAATCGGATTACTTGTTTAAAGTGTGTTTGGTGCTGAGTTACCTGCGTGGTAATGGCTGATAATGACGCGGGGCAGTGAAAGCCGCAAGGAAGCTGTCTCGCCGACGCCGCCTTATCTTTGCACGTTTGTGACGGTATGTTGTCTACACAAGGTGTAGGCGCCTTGACCCTGAATGTTTGCTTAGGGCGTTAAGGTTTTCAGGTAAGTCCCTCTTCTATGCCTCTTCTTATTCTTTATTTCACAGGTCCTCATGGTTGTATGGCAGCGAAGCATCATTTCAAATGGCTGATGTACTGCTGTTGTTTATGTTGATGATGATACCAGGTACTTTATCAACAGAGCTCGGCTTAACCGCGTGCGACCGATGGAGACTTAAGCTCAGGTGTGCGCTAAGCTAAGTGGTGACGACCATTGGAGGAAACAAAGTGCAAGGCAACCGAGATTGATGTCCAGCGACCTGAGGCTCTGCAGTCTTATGAAACGAAATCTCTGATTCCAGTCATCACATGGGCTACGAACACGACGTCGTGTTTTTGCGGTGTCTGATAGCCTGTCTTGACGGGAGCAAGCCTGCCGAGCCAGATGTAATCCACCCCCTGATCCTCAGACCGTTATCGGTCATCATTTCGCCTTCCGTGACTGAGCTATTCAGCAGGTCGCGGTTCATAGATTTATTTTTGGACGAATTTAAATAGTTAGTCTTAAAACCAAAACGGTGAGGCAGTGACCCGAGCAAAGTGGGCAACTATCGGCTGATCTGCCTGACCGGTTTTGACTGACATTCTTTAGCTTCTCGAGTCAAGAATTCTCTTGGGTTTCGCGCAGAATGGTTTCGTGAGAGGTCACTCATGCATCACTAATCTGGTTTGACAAGACACATAGCTTGTAAGCACTGATCTAGGAAAGGCGGTCGACGTTATTTTACATTGACTTCAGTAAGACGTTTGTTAAGGTGAATCACTAGGTTCTTTTCCACAGACTGAACTTGTGCAGTGTTGGTCGCTCGCTTCACCGATTTCGCTGTTGGTCAAAGTGGACGATCCAGGTGGACAAACCTCTGCCTGACTGGTATTCCACGAGTGGGGGCGTGCCTGAATACACTGTACTGGGGCCTATTTTGTCCCTGATCCTTATGAACGATGTGCTTCACCTTCTCCGTTCGCCTTGTTCGTTGTTTGCACATAGCTTGAAGGTGTAGAGAGTAATCAGTGCACTCGATGACTATGTACTGCTTCGGCAAGACCTCAATCGCCTCTCCATGTGATTTGCAGAGGCCCACCTTCGGATAAACCTGAGCTAGTCGCTATTCATGAGTCTGGGTAAATGTGAACACAGTCGAATTTACACTGTGACTAGTCAAGCGTTGCATCCCGCGTCTTTCATGGAACATCTCAGTATCCTCTCACTCTGCAACCTAAAGTCTGTGGACTTTGTCAAAATGGACTTCGTATGCTTTGTGCGCTCAAGCGCAGTTTCCGCACTTGGTCCGAGGAGATTGCCACTCGCCTCTTCGTCTCAATCATCCGACCAATGCCAGCGTACGGCTTCCCTTTATAGTGTGCTATAACTCGGGGAAGTACAACGGATTGAGCGTAAACAGCATGTAGTCACCAGGCTGATCCCCACTTTACGCGGTGTACCGTGCTAAGACCAGTGCCAGAGGATAGTACTTTACACTCTGTTCTTTCGTCGAGTGCAGGTTGTCCTCATCACGATGCACCGGATATTACCTCTTAGTGATTACCCCACGTTGGGGTCGCTGCTCCATACGCACGCAACAGCCAGGACGCGAGGACACCGGTATAAGCTTGTATCACTGGGTTTGAGGCTGGTCACTCACCAACTCTGTTTCAAACAGACAGTGGTGATTATATGGAACGACTTGCCGTAGCACCTAGTCGAGGCAGAGTCAGTATTGGAATTCAAAAATGCTTTGTCAAGCGTTTTTATGATATGAAATACCGCTGATGATCTCCAACATAGCAGGTCATTTTACTTGAAGGATTTTAGATGCAGCTATCTAGGTACCAGGCGTCAGCGAGACAGCACGAGTGTCGTGGTTCACAATAAGGAGCGCCCTATGGCTTGTTGGGTGGAACACTTTCAAGATCAGTTCAGTTGTTCCCCTACTTCTGGATCCCTTCCCACTTAGGTGTTGCGAGCTGAGCCATGGCCGGTTGGTTTAGCGGCTCCGTCGGAGGTTGAGGTCTGAAACGCAATCGCAATCTTTAATCATTTTCGTGCTGCTGGCCCGGATTTCCCCGCACGCACACTATCTAAGGATGGAGGGGAAGTCTTCTGCAACGCACTTACTTTCCTGTTCGGACAGCTAACTGGGGTGAATCAATTATAGTGTTGATGTACAAAAAAGGACCCGCACCGATTGCGATATCTACAGGGATATTTGTCCAACGCCGGTCATGACGAAATTACTGACCTCAATTATCATTCCTCGCCTCACCGCGAAGCGAGAATCCCGTATTTGGGAAGAATAAGCTTGCTTTCGTCCAGAACGAGGCTGTATAGACTGCATGTTTACTCTGCAGCAGGTGCTAGAGCAGCGCCACACTTACCGTAGACCGACTGTAGCTATGTTCCTAGACTTCAAGAGTGCGTTCGACTTAGTGGACCGATGTAATCTGTTCGAAATGCTTGCGTAGATAGGTGTTCTCAAGAAATATGTGAACAATTTACCTGCCCTGTACTCGAACACCACAGGTTCTACGGTGATTTGTCGGATGCCTTTCCGACAACAAGTGGCGCTCCTTAGGGTTGTCCAATTTCCCCATTTTTGTTCAGCTTCGTTGTGAACTGCATCGTGGAGTGTTCCTTATGGAAGCCCCACGATGCAGTTGTTGAGCTGCTGCCTGGTGAAAAGCTTTGTTATGCGGACGATATTGTCTTGCTTTTTAGCGATGTTGGGGCGGAGCAATGAACCCGGTAATATCTCTCTAGAGTGGTCCCGTCATTTTGCATGCGCTTCGCACCTTCATATATATATATATATATATATATATATATATATATATATATATATATATATATATATATATATAGGCCTGTGTTTTAAGGATGATGAGCTCTTTGGGTTGGATACACTTGCAAACATGGAGAAGAGCCAGACCAACCACCATATAATTCTCGATGCTTAACCTTATCTTGCTTTTCGTTTTTAATTTTATTACGTTTTTCTTATTTTCTCGCTTTTTCACTTATCTTCTCTTTTAGTATTTCGGCACATAGCTGATATTTTTCACACCTTTAGCCAACAAGTCATGCTTGTGCTTATCTGCGTATGTGGGGGCGACGAATTAGTATCCGTAGTTCACACGCTACTAATGGCGGTCGCTGGCAGCGAAATGTGGTACGACGCCCCAGCTTATTACGAATGCCTTTTTTGATCTTTATGGTGCCATATTTTGTATTTCTTCAGCGTTTCACTAGCCCCGTTATATCTAATAATCCCTTTTATCGTAAGTTGCGGACGTCCATGTTTTCTCCAAAATCACAGTCTTTTTCCTCCTGCCGGATTCTCGGTTTGTCTAATGGCCATCTCTTTGCAGATTACCTATTCAACATCACTACGTCCTAGCAGTAAAACATACCACAATCACTGTGCGTCTCATCGCCACTGACCACCACGAATTGTTGTGTCTCTGTCTATCTAAAATCCCTAACCCCAAATTTCAGCGCTATTTTTTACTCCAGATGTGCAGTTTTCTGCGTGACTATCCCCGCTGGTCACTTCGTCGTGCAGCACACGTTTTACTGGGCTGAATGTGTAATAACGTCCATATTGTTTCAAGAAACGCTCATTGCACGTGGACTATGGTATTCCTTGCCTCAAACTCGGATCTTGAATTCGCGAACTTTCCTATGTTCATTTTTGTCTGAAATCCTCGCATTTTGACTAGTCTATATTTCTAACCCCCTCGGCTCACGTGCGCAACTTTAGATGATTGCATCTTTTAGAGCACATTTGCCTCCTTCTAAATATCTGAAGGTAACTTTTGTTGGTTGGTTTCTAATCTTTGTTGGTCATCTGTCACTGAGTCTACATTGTCCGTCATCCCACCTTGTCTTTACTCTTCTTACTGTTTCCGTTTAGATGTTCGCTCTCAAGCCCAGGATTTCAAGTTCAAGCTAAGAGAGGCGCTTCAGAAAAATTCCTCTCTGGAGACCGACGTGAGTTCTATTTCTTTTGTGTTCCTTAGTTTGTACCCTTCTTTTTTTATCCATAAGTTGTGTTCGTTTAATATAAGCTGTGTCGATCCCGTACTGGACGGGCGACCTTTTCTTCTCGACCGTTACCCCGGATGATGAGGTAGGATGATCTTTACCCTTGTTCTAATCATTGACCGTGAGAAATAACGTGACCCTGATTTCAGTTCTCTTTTCTACCATGCTCTCGTACCTTTTCTGTCTCCTGGTCATTGCCCGCAGTTTTTCCACTTGTCATATACAATTTTACTTTACAGTTTTCGTCTGTCTCTTCCATTCCTCATGTAGTTTCGCGGTTATTCATTGCAGTCCGACAGACGTGCATATCATATGCTTCACTTTACATTCTATATCACACCATTATCAGAGGTAACATTGTTCGATATGGGCGCTCCCATCCTGAACATCCCGTCAACAACTGCTCTGCCAAATCAACCATCTTGCTAGTTACACTTTTCTGTTTCACGCGGCTGTGAGAGAGGTGCACTCAGCTGTTAGTGACAGTGTCTCGCGGATTCGACACACCCCTAACCAGTCACTGCGATTGGGTTATGCATAAGTGATTGAACCAAAACTGTTACATATTTGGTTCTTGCTTCAACTTGGTATGTTGGGTTTGGCTGTGCCAGCAATGCGGGTACTCTCCGATTGCTATCTTCTTGCTTACTGGAACTGGATGACTGCTGTGCGCGACTGGTCGTAGGGTCAAGAATGGATCAAATTGTGTGTGACTTGTTTACATCTACAGGTTATAATTCCACAGACTTTACATCCCTCGTCGTGTATCATTTTCCTCTGTAGTCGTGCGCATTTCCATAACTCAGTGTCTTTCGTAATCGCATGCGTATGGGATGTTCTGATGTAGTGCGGACAGATTTAAAACATCTTGTTCCATTTGCATACCTCTTGGTCATACCCCTTCAATACTGTGCTTTCAGATTACGATGCATTGGAAACAGTTCTCTAGGATAAGTCCGAATAGTATGTCGGCTAACTTACTTGTTTGAAGATGTCCATCGCCAGCTTGGTACTTCGCACCATTTGTGAATGTAGCGAAAACAGGCGAATTAATTGCAGGTTGACATTAAATTGCATTTGATTTTGTGAAAGTCAAGTTCGAAGTATCATGATCGCGAGGTGGCTAGTGCAAGCCCATTATTTGTACCTAGTTCGGAGACCATCTGTAGCCCTGCACTACCTCCACGTGGTGCCAGAAAGTGATTCGGCGGCAGTATTCTTGGACCTGCCAGTAACCAGGTGCACACTTCAGAGACGTCTCCCAACCTAACACTCACCGCGCCTTCCACATCACCGAAAACCAGAGTAGTCTGCGGTGCCTTTATTGCTAAAGCGTAGATAGCAAGACGATCTGTAACATTGGAATTTCGTTTTTGATAGAATCAGTGTTCGGGCCAGATAACCTCATTAATGCAACCTTAGACATCCAGACTCGATGCACTACAGCAAGTCCCGACTTTTATGGGTAACGCTGGGATCAACAGACGATGTCGAGGTGGCACTGCTGTCGACATACCATCTCCAGAGCGAAGTCGATAGGAAAGCTATTTTCCGTATGTTCCAAGAAGATAACGCTATTAGGTCAAAATAATTCAAACAGCTACCACACGGGCAATAGCAGAAGAATCATTTTCGTCATTGGGTGTACGAACTGCTGGCAGCTAGCGACGAGGAAGCCCCTGCTCATGACCTGGCGGCATATCTCTACATCCATGGAATTCTCTCTACTGATGACATCATGCCTCAGTCCACTTCGCGGCCACTCATGTCACGTTGTTACAAAGCCAGTGGCCCGAGGATCCTGACTTTGTGGTTCAGTCCCAACAGATGACTGTGAACTTAATCCGGATGGCCGATACTGCGTAACAAACTGTTTTCATAGCCATGATTGAAATCAACACTTAGGGTACCGCAGTCACCCGACGTCGTCTAGGGAGTAATACCGCCCGAGACCCAAGGTACCCACAACAGCGATTCAGAAACTGCGTGATCAGACTAGTGTCTGTTACGAACGCTGCCATTTTATCAGACTTTTGATGCGCCCTCAGCCAGTGTTCCGTGTCGCCTCTACTGACTGCGAATGTACGTGTGTGTGTGTGTGTGCGTCCATTGATACGTGTGTGTGTGTGTGTGTGTTTCGTCCTTCCTCTCATTGCGCTCATTGGCCAACTTCCTCCCGGTCTGATGGAACACTGGACTTAGCACGCATGTTACTTGCTTGCTTGCTGTTTGCTTCTATACGTTTCCTTTATGCACCGTTACTTACAATTTACTTTTATTGCCCCGTCATTGTTCTGATTCAACTGGGTGTAACAGATTGACGATGGAGGTTATTTGGTTCACTTATGACAAATTCAATTACTTCACCTCAGCCGTTTTGAAATTCTTCCGCGGAAAGGCCTACGACGCAGCAATAGACACACTGGAAGACTACTTTCAATAATTACGTGGATTTACCTGTGCTTTTTGGCAATAACAATGCGATTGATGAGGCACCAAAAATTAAATTACTGCGTCAGCACCTCTGTAACGAAGGGCCGCGATATTTCGATGATTTGCAGCTACACATGAAACATGACTTACAAACTGTGCTCTACACTTTTGACCGACTTTGGGGAGAAAAACCACACATTTTCACAGCCCGGTACAAGTTTAACACCATGAGGCAACAACCGAGTGAAACTGTGAATGAATTTATTTCTCGACTCCTTACTGCCCTTCTTGATTACGCCTATGACCAGATCAGGCCAACTCACTTCGAAGAAGCAATGCTTTTACAAGCATTGATGGTTGGTGTACTTGACGACAAAGCACGTGAGCGTCTTTTTTCAGAAGACAAAAAGACCCGTACTTGGACAAAACCATGTGCTATAGTCCGAAAACGTGTTAAACTCATTCACGAACTAACGGCATTCTACTCTTCCGATCACAGAATTTCACAGGAGGTAAACAAAGTCTCTCAAACAGAGTGATCATACATTGTCTCAATCCGTACAGCGCAGAGAATTCCGTGGTTATCGCTGTGGCGAGCAGCATTCTGATCCGGCTGATTGCCAGCATCTTCACTCATGCAGATTTAGTAGGAAAAGTGGACATATTCAGAAAGTTTGTCTTTCCAAACGAAATTTCATTGTGCAGGGAAGTCCAACAACTGTGAACCACATTCAAACTAAAACTGGATAAACATCACAACAGTTTTTAATCACAACACAACAGCGGAAAAACCGTTCCATGTCTATCCAGGTAAACGAAAAATCTGTTGATTTCGAAATTGTCACGGGTTCCGCAGTTACGCTGATACGACCTGATGCCCTGTCGCAACTACCAAAACTAGATTCCCCTACAATACAACTACGATCATACACCGGACATTTGGTGAATATGTTGGGTACCTTTGTTGCACGTATCTCCCACCGCCATTCGACGGATCAAATCCGTGTGTACGTTTCTGGGGGGACCAGGTCCAAACATACTTGGTTGCGATGGCACTAAACGACTTCCGGGCATCATATCAAACATCAACACGGTTGAAGCTTGCCTACACCTTTCTGGGATTTTGCAAAAATGCGCACCTCTTTTTGATCAAAATAAGCTAGGCCTGCTGAAGAATTAGGCGGCCCGGTTGCTACTAAAACCACAAGCAACACTGCGATTCTGGACGGCGCGCACCGTACATTATGCTCTTCGGAACAATGTCGAGACTTAGCTGCGCCGACTGCTAGAAGAGGGTAAAATTGAACCCGTCCCGTATTCCAACTTTGCTGCTCCTATAGTGCCTGTATTGAAAAACGATGATACTGTAAGGCTCTGTAGGGATTACAAAGTTACAATCAACTAAGCACTACAACCAGATCGATATCCACTGCCTCAATTTGAAGATATTTACGCTTCTCTCTTGTGGCGAACTTTTTACCAAATTGGCTCTAAGCCACGCCTACCAGCAGATTGAACTCGACGAGGATTTACGTGGTTTCACCACAATCAGCACAAATCTTGGGTTATTTAGCTACATACGCATACCGTTCGGAATATACTCTGCACCGTCCATATTCCAACGAATTATCGACTCGCTAGTGAAAGACATACCGAATACATGTGCCTATCTGGATGACATCCTAATTACCGGGCGCACAACTACTAAACATCTGCATACCCTGGGATGTAGTTCTAAAAAGGCTATTAGACTCCGGGCTAATACTGAAGAGAATTGTGTGCATTTCTTGTACCGAGTGTGCAATACCTTCGGTACAAACTGTCGCGTGAAAAGTTGTATCCGCTAGAAGAGAAAACCAGCGCACTCCTTAAAGCCTCAGCACTCAAAAATGTAAACGCACTACGCTCCTTTCTAGGAGCAGTCACTCAGTTCTCCAGGTTCATAGCGGCAGCTCCAACTCACTTCCACTTCATCAACTTTTGCGCAAGAATCAACCATCTAAATGAAACGCTGTTCACGAGAATGCTTTCAACACAGTAAAGAAATTTCTGGCGTCAGCTGAGGTCCTTGTTCATTACGATCCACGGAAACTTATTGTTTTCATTTGTGATGCTTCTACTTACGGCCTTGGGGCTGTTTTGCTACATAAATTACCTGATGGTTCGCAGCGACCTGTTGCCTACGCTTCACGAACCTTACACGCAGCCGAAAAGAACTACTCTCAACTCGATCGAAAGGCGGCTGCTGTCATCTTCGGGATCAACCGATTCCATCGATACTAGCTCGGCCAACATTTCCTGGTTCACACAGATCAAAAACCCATTATCTCTCTCCTTGGGAACGAAAAAGGAATTCAACAAATGGCCTCCCCCAGAATGATCCGCTGGTCCCTCATTCTCTCTGCTTACACATACCAGATTCAGTATGTTCCAGGCAGACAGAATACCGCCGCTGACGTTCTCGGTCGACTCCCCTTTCCTCATGTCCCTTCAGAAGACTTTACTCCGCAAGA